ATATCACTTATCGATGAAAGAGAGAATTTGAGAATAACAATAATTTGCAGTAAAACATATTGGCTTTAATACTATTTCGTAGAGCCTAAATACCACAATTGCTGAGGGGCCCCTGTTCTTCCCAGTAGCACCTAACAGCAGTGTAAGGCAGCCGAAGTCGTCTTTGTTCTTTTTTCATCGTTTGACCTTCATGAAAGGTTTGTGTCACCTTGTCCATAGGATGGAGATGCGAATAAAGCTATTTCAGTTTTACTTGGGTTGACGTGTAAACCGTTCCTGTTCGCCCAGTTGGACACCAAGATGAGCTATCCTTGTGTTAGCGCATTGACCGAAGTTGGAAATTTTATATTTAATGGACATGTTCGAAAAAAGATAAGTCTTCAGATGACAATGACATAAATTCACCCTTCCTTTCAGCATAGAAGAGTATATGTCACATAAAATTGACGTTCATCAAGAAGAAAGATACTTTATTTCATATCAAAATGGATGCAAACGCGTCCATTTGAACTGATTTGTTTCGAATGTATCACTCTCTCTCTCTCTAAACAGCTGATGAACAATGTAGCAGGAAAGAAATCGGTAGGTGGAGAAAGTCGGTTATTGTCATATTTATCTATTCCAAATATTTATTCAGACTAATGGTCGGTTCGAATTAATTTTCGAGATATATGTATTTTATAACAAAAAACTTTTTGTTGTAAACGTATGTATTTTGTTTAAGAGGGCCACATATGGTCAATCAATAACATAATAAGTTAATTAAATTAATATACATTTATTGAAAAGGACCGATTTACAAGTCATCTCCTATTTGCAATGTCTAATAAGAGTGGATGGTGCAAATAAGCCAATTATGAGTATACTTGTGTAAAATGTGAGCATAATCAAAACTCCCAGCACAACTTGGCGTAGTCGGATATCGCCAGTTTGCTGACAATACGCCTACTTATTCCAGTAAATCCTTCAAATTCTGCCCAAAGCCCATGCTGCTCATCCATATGCATAATGAAAACGCAAATTTTACAATCTACAAAGAGAATTGGGAAAACACACACCGACATTTTAGTGGTCACTTTGATGTTGAAGAATTTGAGTGCAACAAAGGTGATGTCCTCCTGTGCACGATGAATGAAGAATATGATGAGCTTGCGGCAACGCTTGTCCATGGCCAACCAATTGCAATGGAAATTGCATGGAGCAACTTGGCACTGTCAGCTTCTATCGTTGACGCTTGATAGCATGTGGGCATAATCTGCAGCATGACGCCTAAATAATAGGTTACCGTCACCACCTGTTGTTGGCGATCGGCAAATACGAAAAAATGTGACATCGAAACGTAGAGAGCTACGGCAACAATCACGAGGAACATAATTATAAACTTGTTTTACGCATTCTAAAACACCATAGTTGATCTGATGTGTAACAATACAATCTACCAATTCGTCATAGTTTTGCTCGTCAGTAAGTTCTGGATTTTCGCCCAAATGACTAACGCGTTTCGTCAACAGATTTATGAAAGTGTGTGCGTAAATTTCGTATATAAACTGCCGGGAACGCATCCATTGTGGCTTATACCATCAATAGGAAAATCAAGTGAAAAACTGAGTTGGCTGAGGGATATAGTCGGTGAATGGCAACCATGTATTCAGAGGATAACCATTAGTGAGTAGCGGCTGGAGATATATGTGCCGCTGCCATAAATATGAAACAAATATCACGCTGCTGAGTAGGCGTGTGCTGATGATAACACAATATTTTATCTGCTCCTGATTCGCGACGCTCTGGCGTGCACGCAAACGTGCAAAGATCAGCTCTGCGCTTCGCGGATGCGTTTACAATATTGTAATGACAATCGCCTTCATTGGCTGTCCTAGAATATTGAATATTGCTGGCAAAATGCCAAGTTGAATATTTATAGGCTCAGTTTCCAAAGTTTGCAGATAACCCATGAAGAAGGCAAACGGACACAGGAGAAGTAAAAACCAGCAGCAGCACACGCAATCTGTACAGCTCTAACGGCTTAATACCGACAAGTGTCCAACATTGAAATAAAAGCTAGAACGATTCATTGATCTCAAACTTCGAAGCGCCACGTCCATATAATAAATCGGAGAGTTTGTGCATTTTTCTAGTGTCCTCTGGCTGTCTGCAATGATGCTAAAATATAAAAATGTAAATGTATGTAATATATAGACATCCGCTTGGAAAAAAATTAAAGGTTGGAGACGTGTACATGACCTAATTCGCATAAGTAAGTTGTGACTAAGCCATATTGAAATGAGATGATAGTGATGAAATTCATCATACTTTTGCCTGATAAAACCTGAATTTTTTCAAATTTATAAGTTTAACTGTGGCGATATTCGCACGTACAAGGTACTAACACGATCTGTGAAATATTCAGGAGTTAACTTTTTCATACAGGAGCGCAGATTTACTGGGATAGAAGACTGCCTATGAGACTTAAAGATGGCAATCTCTTGTTTAATATTAAGTTTATAGACCAGGACAAATACAACGTTCTTGGAGGCCTTCTAACTGAACAGGTAATTCTGTATTGAGATGACCTTTTCATCATTTGAGGAATTCTAAGGCTTGTAAATCTTGTAGTAAGATTTTTTTGAGTAATTATAACTGTTTGGTTGGTTGTTTGTAAATATTTTATAGAAAACAAATAATTACTGAAACATTCATTTATGTGCGTGGAAAATTGGACAATTCTCATGACTTTGCACATTTTATCACTCGCAAAGCATTTTTTCTCACAAAACCCCTTACCCGTAAAATATCTTTCTTTATCTTCTCTAGAGCTTATTTTTGAGGAAATATATGTATTTTACTCGCATGCATATGCGTATCTAATTAAACTCTTTTCGGGTTATCGGTATAAACGTATAAGTGACGTCATGATGAAAACTAGTATAACATAGCGAACTTGATTAAAGCCAGGGAAATACCCTCTGAAGCATAAGAATTGTTGATTATATGTCGTATGTGTATATGTAAGTTTTCACCCGATTTCATTCTTTCTAAGCACAAGGATGCACCGTTATAACAAAAACCCCATAAAGACACGCGAAAGTGAGACAATCTCTGTAGGGCTAAGGGAAGTATTGACCCGATCGAATCCATTTTCAACAAACAGACATACTTAAAAGGATTCTCTTCAAATTTCGGTAATATATTTCATATATTGGCCGATATTTTCAGTAAAAAGTCAATATAATCTCTGGGTTCACATACTCAGTACCTACAAGATGCGTTTTAAAGTAAACAAGACTTAAAAAAAAAGAACAGAATAAATGGTTTCTTCGGCAAAATCAATTTATTTTATTCAAAATAGTCTCTTTCTGCTTCAATACAGCTTTTTGCATGGTCCAAAAGCATGGCGGTTAGTGGTTAATGGTTAAAATGTGATTTTTGGTCAAATAATCGGCCACAAGCGTCGATCGATCTGAGCAATATTTGGTAGTTAGTCAATTTGTGTGGAACAAACTGTGCACACACCTTTCGTAAGTTTTGGAGATGTTCACTTCCATTTCCATGAATTTCAATGATGATTTCGGCTGATTTTTCACAGTTTCTATGGAATTTCCGGTGATCACGGATTGACCCACATATTGAACGTCATTTTTGTCCTCACGACCATTTTGAAAACCTTGAAATCACTCATGCACTCAGCTACGGGATAGCCAACCATCGCCGTAAACTTGTTTCATCAATTGAGAAGTTTCGATAAACGTTTTACCAATTTTAAAACAAAATTTAATGTTGGCTTTTTGAACGAAGCTCATTTTCGCACCGATGACACAAACATACCGACACTTAAAACTCAATAACTTCACTTCCAATCAATGAAATGTCATGAAATCGATGTGATGAAAATTACTGGACAATCGATGAAGATAACAGATTCTAACGCACCAGTCGACATATCATTCAAAAAGTCCTGTTTACTTGGAACTCACCTTGTACAATTTAACTTATCAACTACCTAGCGAACCTGACTAACGTTAATTTTTACTATCCTTATATGAAAACTAAGAGAAAATGTGAATCAATGTCATGAATTAGTACTTAAATAGATTAAAATCAATGAGAAGGACCGACAGTGTAATCATAATCAAAGTCGCTTAATTTTAATAAAATATCCCCAATAAAGGCTAAAATAGACTGAAATATGCTTGATTAAATTGACTGGCGCAATAGATTTTGGTCAAAACATGTAACTGGAAAAGATTCATATTTAAATTAAAAACTAATTTTGTTTTATTTTCTAATAAATCTGAAAATGAATAGAATAGAAATGTGTGCCGTGTTTGCAACAAAATTCCCTGAAAACTTGTTCATTACAATATTTGCTAAATATTTTCTAATGAATAAACATTTAGTACACAGCAATCACACAATCTCAATGCAAAATTGTATAAGAAATCAAGCTTTCAATTGATACTAGATGTTGTTGCAAAATAGATGGCGATAAGAAACCGAAGCTTTCAGAAATGAAAACAGATGCAACTCTTTACAGAACGAAAGTCTCTTTACATAATCGTAATTCATAGAATATTTACAAATAATCTTAACTGTCTACATTATAAGTATTAATATGGTGAACTTACATATCTATGTGAGTTAAATTACATATAAAATTGGATTGAACTAACAACAAATTTTATCGCTTTATTTTATCCGAAGTTTCTATATTTTATATATATATATATATAGCAGGAGGTTTTTTGAAGTCTTGAATGCCACTTTAATTTTTTGGCTACTATTACTACTGCTTTTATTATATCAATTTGTAGGAAATTTTAAATATATTTTTCGATCAATATTTTGTTAAATGAAAGCATTAAAATATTTGGAAGTTTCTTTTTAATTATCACTTGTTTATTTTCTTAAATAAAAAAAAAACTAATTTTTCAAAACACATTCTTACTCTATTTTCATATGCGCCTTTCTTACACTGAAAATTGCGTTGTTGTGCATACGCGCAGTATGAACAGCGTTGTGAGCAGCACAGCGCCAAGTACAACGAGCTTCATTGACCCGAATGGCACAGCAGCAGCCGCCATCGCAGTTGCCGCATCGACGATGACCGAATCGACCACGCTGAAACCGAATATCGTTGTACAAGCCAAACCAATGCCGTCGCCCATTGATCCGCTCAGTCACGTCGGTGATGGTATCTTCCTGCAAACAAAAACCGCCCAAGGACTTGCGACCGTCTTCGTGTGGGTGGCACTATTTATCACTTGCCAACAGGTGGGTAGTCCAGCGCTTAAGAAAAGTGAACTGAACGGCTTTACTTTGTTTTTGTTTTTCGTATTATTGCCTTTCCACGCTGTTTACACAACGCCACACGCTGGTAGATTTATCAACATCTGCGTTGGTACACAAATCCACAGGAGCAGCGCTGGATAGTGCGCATCCTTTTCATTGTGCCCATGTATGCGACATACTCGTGGATCAGTTTGTTTTTCTTCAATTCGGATAATGTGTATGTGTACTTCTTTACCGTGCGCGATTGCTACGAAGGTGAGCACACAGAATTGCCAAGATTTGCTGATATTTTTCTCTTAAACCTGTTATTTACATAATTTTTCCCTTAGCTTTTGTCATCTACAGTTTCCTGTCGCTGTGCTATGAGTACCTTGGTGGCGAGGGCAATATCATGTCCGAGATACGCGGCAAACCCATCAAGAGCTCGTGTCTGTATGGCACCTGCTGTCTGAAGGGCAAGACGTATACAATCGGTTTCCTGCGCTTTTGCAAGCAGGCCACATTGCAATTCTGCTTGGTGAAGCCATTGGTGGCATTCATTATTATATTCCTGCAAGCCTTTGGCCACTATCATGATGGTGATTGGAGGTATTAAAATGTGAAAACAATACATTGCAACTTATTTAACAAAACTTTACTGATTTACAGTGCAAACGGTGGCTACATTTACATTACAGTTATCTATAATATATCCGTTTCGCTTGCCCTCTACGGTCTATACTTATTCTACTTCGCTACGCGTGATTTACTTACACCATTCGAGCCTGTATTGAAATTTTGTACAATCAAATCAGTTATCTTCTTATCGTTTTGGCAAGGTGAGTCACTCTAATGAGTCCAAATTTTGCTGTCTTACTAATTTTGCGGTCTTTCGCCTACAGGTGTTATGTTGGCCATTTTGGAAAAGGCCAAGGTCATCTCGCCAATTGTGGACAGCGTCGGCACTGTCACATCAGCTGGTACTGTTTCGGCGGGCTATCAAAACTTCTTCATTTGCATTGAAATGTTGTTTGCTGCGATTGCCTTGCGCTATGCATTCCCCTATCAGGTGAGTTCAATAAAAACGATTTTCATTGTTTTTTACTTCATAATTGCTTTTCTTTGTAATTATTGTTTATGACTAACTTTCGCATATTTTATTATTTTCGCTTTATTCGCAAGTTCATCGAGTGCAAATGTTTGTTAGGCGTGCTTGCTTGTCATGCTCTAGTCGATTGATAAGATAAATATACAACAACAACAACATAAATGTGAGCCTCTAATAAACATATCTCGCAAGCAATTAACACTACTCGTAATAGTATTGAAAAACTCACTCTCGATTAGCCAGTGGAAAGCGTGGACCGTAAAGTTAGACGTTTGGCTAGGTGAAAATCGAAAGTTTGCAAGTGCTTGTAATGTACTTTGGCATATCTATGGCATATGCGTAATGGTTAGGCGCTGGAGCGTGTCAAATATTTTGCATTTTTAATTTCCTTTTTATTCGCTTCATCTCTTGTACTCTCTTTGTGAGCGTGCGTGGTTTATGCTCATATCTTGCAGATTTGTAATTGATCTAAATTTATTAGTACTTAATATTAGTGGTCATATCCACTTGTTATCTGAAGTGAGTGAGTGAGTGGTCATAAAAATATAATATAGTATGTAAAAACTTTGTTTTGCAAGTTTTGATCATTTGGTGATATTGTTGGTCTTAATAAATTTTTATATGAAAATGGCGAATTTGCTATAATGGTCCTATGCCGGTCGTGAAAACAAATGCTACGGCTGCTACTATGCCGGTCTCTTTCGACCAATTCAGCGATTTTATCGCAGTTTTCGACGATAGGCCTTCCGGAGCGTGGCGCATCTTCGACCACCTCTACACCAGAACGAAAACGTTGAAGCCATCGTTGTGCGGTGGAAATGGAAACTGTATCGGGCCCACAAACTTCACAAATTTTATTGGCGGCTTGAGATGCATTTTTGCCTTTATCGTAGTAGTACTGTAAAATATGCCGTATTTTCTCTTTATTTTGCTCCATGTTTGCAACGGCAATCAATCAAACACGTGTTAGCGCGTGAAATGAGCTTTCCAAAAAGGTATAGCATGCCCCGATGCGACGAATAAAACTAGAACTACGCGCTCTCAGCGCCAACTAGCGAACATACCGCAAGAGCAAATGTCAAACTGTGCTTTTTTCTGACCGAAGGGATAACGCCTAAATAAACGTCATAAAACAAGGTAGAGACAATGTACTAGTGTGGGGTTGTTTTTCAGGCAATGGAATAGGACCAATTCATCATATAAACAGTACAATGGACAAATATAAGCATACAAATATTTTTTAGAAAATGGGGTTATCAACAAGACAACGACCATAAACATACTGCTATTTGTGTAAAACAGTAGTTTGCTGATAAAAGGATTGAGGTTTTGAAGTGACTCGAACAATCACCAGATCTCAATGTAGATCGATAAGTCAGACGTGAGAATTGTAAAAATAATGCCGTTTTATACATACAAGTAAAGGGAGCATGGAAAAGCATTTCCTGCGACACATCAAATAAATTAATTGAGTCCATGCCTCGCCGATGTGCAACTGTATTCAAAAATAAGGGATACGCAAGCAAATATTGAAAGACATAAATTGTTCAATCATAAAACCATTTCGTGATTTAGTTTTGTCGCACCAGATTTTCGGAGTTTTTCATATATGGAATTTTCTACTATATATTTTTTTAATAAGTTAATTTGCTTAATTTTTTACTAACACAAAAAGAAGAATGAATGAATTAGTTATAAAAATAAAATCATTAAAATTTATGTTTTTATTCATTTAAATACCGACAAGGTAGATTCCGTGCTTTAGATTAGTCGCACACTGTATATAAATATTTTATGGGGTCTCCGGCGTTTCCTTCCTGTGGCTATAAACTTTCTGGCTAATTTATTATTCCCTGCTCAGGCTAAGAATTAATTATTTCTATAAGGAAAATCATTCACACTAACCTCCAAATGCTAAATATAATGTTGACTGTTCCAAAGTGACGAATGTATCCTTGTAAAATTAGCAAATGACAAACCAACAATAAGTAAACTGTCGTCAAATTAGCCTCTAGGCGGTGCATAATTTTAAGTAATAATCTTACACATTTCAACATTTATTGTTCCCATGAGAGTCGGGTCAATATAACTGGAACAGAACTAATGTATATTCGTGAAAGAACTAACAATTTGTTAGCAGTTCTACATTCCTCAGTATTCATTTTGAGGAACGTTTGCTGATGCTACAAAAGTAACAATAACAACGTATAAACGGTTGTTATAGAAAAATTTTGCAAAAAAACTCAGATTTAATTTAATTTTTCATTTATATGTATTATTGCTATTTTTATTATTTTTATCATTGTTAGATATGATAAGTTTTTCTCAACTTGAAACCTCATAAAGTGAAAGGCCACATTCTTCAAAGACTTATAATGATTGTATTACACAATATTATTTTTATTCCTTTAAAATGCATATACCATATCTTGATCTTGTTTGGAGCTGTAATTTTCTAATAAATATTTATTTCCTTATAGGTTTATGCGCGCAGTTGCATTGCCGATGGCCAAGGTCGCTCTGTTACCATGCAATCAATATCAAGCAGTCTTAAGGTATGTAAATGCAATTTCGTTGTATAATGTATATAAAGACATTTGTTTTACTACTTTTTCAGGAAACTATGAATCCCAAGGATATTATGACAGATGCTATACACAATTTCCATCCACAATACCAACAGTACACACAATACAGTTCCGGTAAGTTCATTTCCCTTACTTTACAATATTTTTGCTTAATATGCATGCTTTAAACGTGGCTTGACCTTTCATAACTGTAAATTTGCTATGCATCTTGTAACTATTGTACCATTGTGTGATTCTTTATCTATCTGCACTGCTATATCTTATATCACTTAATATTACTGCCATCCCACATCTTCAACCACTTATAACCCTTTTCACACTCCTTTTCGCTTTATGTTCCCATACTATAGCTAATATTTTCGAAATGCTTTCAGCTTTGCGCTGGCAAATACTAATTTTCACCATCACCATTTTACCCAAAACGGCTACGTGTTGGTTAGTGAGTAGTAGTTAGTAGTAGGGTATCCAACAAACCGCTTTAATGCACGCGTGCTGAAACTAATTCCATTCTTCTCCACGCACACTGTCCGCCTTGAAAGGTCGCACTTGTAAAGCGCACTCAAGTTCAAGTCCAATAAAAAAAAACACACACACTCATTTTGTTTTCATTCTTTTCATTTGGGTTTTGGTTCCACTTGAGTTTCATTTTATGTTTACCAACAATTTATTTTCGTTACCTACCACTTTAGGTTTCTTCAAAAATTTGTTTTTTTCTCTTCTATTCCTTTTACAGAAGTTACCTCGTCTCAACGTTATGAGAAACTTTAAAATCAGTATCTGTCAATGCGCTAATGAGTCGCCGAGCGGAAGAAATAAAATGTTGTGAGCGTTGAAGAGGGCGAACAGAAACAGAAACAGAATCAGAAATAGTACTTACTTATAATTTAATAGAAGCAAAGAAGACGACGAAATCAATTCTAAAATAATATTTCTCTAGTGCTAATGCGTTAACAAAATGCCTTTGCAAAGTGCATTTGCTTACCAAATTTGCCTTATACAAAACACACACGAGTACACATAAATATATATTTATACATGAAAAATTGCTAGCAATTAAAAGCGATTATCAATAAAAGAACAGGATGAATTTCAAGCAAACGATAAAAACGGCGTAGCTCTTAAGTTTAACTAAAATAAAATTAGACACATACACACACACGCATGCGTGTATTGCGAGGGAGGAGGTATGCGTTTTTCGTTCATTTTCTAAATATATCTATGTACACCGTTTTTTATTTTATACTTTTAAGTTTCTACAAGTGTTGCTTGTTTAGCGTAGCTCAAGGTGCACCTAGACCAATGCACTGCCTCGTTATAACAAGAAGCGAGAAAAAAAAAACATTAATTTTTATTGATTATTCCTGTTAAAGCCAACTATATTAAAAAAATTAAAAAATATTCATGTTAATCGTAGCTTGTTCCATAGTTAATATTTTTTTTTGACTTTTTTTAAATTTTGAATTCTTACTTTTTTGTAGGTCATATTTTTGTATTTTACTATTCATACAGCTTTTTATGTCTTATTGTTTGCCCACTAGGTAGGTTATTATTACTAACTGCAGTTATAAAAAATATTTATAGATTATTATAAAGCAATTAAAAAATTTGTTTACCAATATATCATCGACGCATATTTATCTACAATTCTGTTAAAACGGGAAAAAAGACAAAAAACCTTGGCTACTTATCAAATGAAAACAAATTACGTTACTTTAGTATGAGAAATGATTGAAAATTATTTTTTTTTTTAAGTTGTGTTCGCATTGTTCTTTATATTTCTGGTAGCGTTAGTTCTACATACTTTTTCTCTACACAGTTCAATTTTCTTAACAAGAACGAGAGTCACCGAAAGAAATGGTCTTTTTACCCCAAAACTAAGGGCCACGTCGATTCCGTTCCGACATTGTTGTTGCAACAACCTTAATCATTGCCAAAATGTTTTTCTAACTTCTGGTTGTTCTATGCCAATTCTTGTTCTTACTGCGAGTACGTGATCTTAGTTATTTAGAAAATTTTTGAAATCTGTTCTATTAAAAACCTGTATTTGCACGGATCCTTTTGCATTTCAAATATTTCTTCGGTTTCAAAAGTTCGGTCATTCCAATTTCAAAAATTCGAAAATCAATTTCGCAATTTTATCTAAGCATTTAGTTTTGCTGTTGCTGTGAGGGAATATTTCGCTTTATATTTATCGGATTTAAAGAAAGATTTTATTTTTATTTTTTGCCAAAAGCGCGCAGTTATAATATATGAACATTTATCAAGACTTTTTACAATTGTCGCACTTCACACATTGCTCAA